GGTCGTTCGATGCGTGTTTTATCTAAAAGAGTTAAAAGAACATAATCCCGCTTGGCTACGAAAAGGTGGCAATGGATCAATAAAGAATGCTATAACTGAACATTATTCAACAGTGGTCACTCAATATGTAAGGAGAATCTATTCAAAGTCATTTACAAGGTCAAAAGAAGCCTACCAAAAACGATAAGCTTCTGTATACTTTGCATTGACCAGGCTATGGCGATTCGAATGGAAAACCCTGACTTATGTACACAGCAGAAACTTCTCCACTCCCTCCTTCTACCCTGCGTATAATTCCAAGTTCTACTGCTTTATTAATAGTGCTTTTTTAAATAAAGCAAGAACAACAGTGGTTTGTGCAGAATAATATGGTACCATCATTTATTTCGTTGGCTTCTCGTCAGCTGCTTACAGCCTAAATAAATCATGAGGTTTATGTACAGAAAAGTTTTAACATACTTGCAAATTTTTCATGGTGTCAGTTGACAGAAGGTTCCACAATTAGTGAACAGTGCTCAGAAAATTGCGCTTATATAGTTTTTACACAGGCAGTTCAAGTTTAAACAAAATAAATGTATGCATACAATGGTAAAGGAGTTACGTAATAAAGACGAGAGATGCGTAAGATGCAGAGTGACTAATAAATTAGGTAACAATGTATTGAATTCAACTCAAATCATCTGTTTTTCTTCACAAATTCTCTCCTGAATATAATCAACTATTGAACACGATGTATTTGATTCCTGAATTGTAATTTTGTGTTCCTCAATCTTTTTGGAATTCTCCCAATGACTAAAAAGACTACTGACATTAAATGCATTCAGTCTTCTTTACTCTTCAAAATAAATTATCAGATAGCTGGGTAAACTGGTGAATAGTATATATATCAAAAATCAATACAATAATTCTTCAATTCGGCAGTGTAGTACAAATCTCTCTTCACTCAATAAAACGCATATGGAGATTTAAATGTATGATAACTTCATAGAATTATAATGTGTCTAAAAATGCTTTAGTATAATAAATTTGTAATTATCAACTCTAGAACAAATAAGTAAATGAGTTCTCCTCCTTGAATTATACTGTTTTACTCAAGAAAATTACACAATCACATACTATCAACACATTCGTGTGTATAGAGACTTTTAAGAAATAAATATCATGTTCATTTCTGGGTAGTTACTGACTAGAATTTGTGATAAGTGCTTATTTATCTTCATGATTAAATACGTTGTCTCATTTCATTAGGCAGATTGAAAACTTATGGTAATTTTTCTCCAATTTTCGATCGAGAAAGAAAGACCAGATTTACAGCATCAAAATGATATCATTCTATTTCACAGGTAATCATCAGCTGAAAACTATGTGAAATTACAGTGGTTATAAATAATGACATTTCATACTTCAATGTTTGAAAGGTAATAGTGAAAACATTATTAGATGAAGACATCCGGAATATAAGTATTAAAATTTTTAGTTTAAGTTACCATCAATTTATATACTATCAAACTATGAAAGAAAAAAGAGGGGGTGAGAGAAGACAGCAAAACAGAAAAATCTAATAAACAGTGTTAGCTTGTACGTCTACATAGCAACTCAAGAAGGTTAAAGTTCATCAAATTGAAAACTTGCTCAATGAGCTGAGCTCACTAGTGTGTATGACTAATCAGTGTAATCAAAGTAATGCGGTTACCAAGGGAGTGAGAGATTGACTACACTCTCTTTCTGTGTGCATAAGTTTGGTCTGAAATGCTTAAATACAATTGCAATTACCAGACACCTTGTGGATACGGGTCATTTCGTAGAGATTTCCAAATTCTTTAAAATATTAAACATACAAAGGACGGCGAATTTATTACGATTTGCTGAAGCGATTGCAATCAAGCATTTCAGACCAAACTTATGCACACAGAAAGAGAGTGTAGTCAATCTCTCACTCCCTTGGTAACCGCATTACTTTGATTACACTGATTAGTCATACACACTAGTGAGCTCAGCTCACTAAGCAAGTTTTCAATTTGATGAACTTTAACCTTCTTGAGTTGCTATGTAGACGTACAAGCTAACACTGTTTATAGATGTTTCTGTTTTGCTGTCTTCTCTCACCACCCCCCATTTTTTCATAGTTTGAAAGTATATAAATCGACGGTGACTTAAACTAAAAATTTTAATACTTATATTCCGGATGTGTTCATCTAATAATGTTTTCACTATTACCTTTCAAACATTGAAGTATGAAATGTTATTATTTATAACCACTGTAATTTCAGATAGTTTTCAGCTGATGATTACCTGTGAAATAGAATGATATCATTTTATACTGCAAATCTGGTCTTTCTTTCTCGATCGAAATTTATCAAGGGAACCAAATGTATGAAATTTTCTCCAATTCCTGATGGTAGTGCAATTTAAGAAAATGGTACCGTGTAAGAAGATCTGTACTGTTATGTATTTAGGAGTCCTTAAAATCTGCGTATCCAGTAATATTTGAAATTCCTTTTCGCGCTTTAAACCAAGTTATTTTAAATGTATGTATATTTACTGTTGAACACACAACAATTAGACGAATATTAGGAAGAAAACTCTTCATTTACTGTGTGTTTGAAAGTATGCATGATACTAATCAGAACGACACAACAGTAATTAACACATTATTCCATATCATTGGAGTGCTTCAATATATAAACAGCTTAATATTCCCCAATTACCTCAACTGTTTGACGTCTAGAGAAATTATTAAAAGATGAAAGCTAATTTTTTTATATTACCACTTTCATACATGAATGTTCCAGAAGCATAAAATCACTAACTACTTCTTTATGAAATAGCCATGTGTATTAGTCTGGCTATTGTGAACCTATTTCGACCCATTCATAGATCTGTAAAACAGGGCATGGCTCGTCAATAAAGTCGTCTCAGTCACTTTATCGTTATACTAGTAGAAAAATTTACAGAAACAGATTACTGGGAATACAAAACTGAACTATCATATCTTACACTGTCAGAAGGTTGTGCACAGTGTACTCATATCACTGAAGTAGTAACTATTAATATATGTGTAAAACTTGGGCGCTGTGGTAGTAAGTAATTCCATATTAGTTTGTTTATTAGATGTATCACACAGTCAGTGAAACAGTATTATTTATTGGATGACGTTTCGAACAAAATTTACTGTTCATAATCATATCATCAATTATAATCACACGACTTCGAAACTTCAGTTTTATAGTTTTCTTTGTCCTCTCCTATTTGTCGTAGGAGTAGTAGCATTTTCTAGATATCTGGGACAGGTGTTGAATCATTCCTATTACATGTATTTGCAGTTGATTCGATAAACAAAGCTTCTGTTATCAATCTCTCCCTCCACACTGTGACATTAGATTTTAAAACTGTCATCTTATCCCATCCTATTGTATGGTTATGTGTAATTGCATGTAGTGCTATAGATGAACTACTCTCTAAATTTCTTATATTATTCGGGTCAACTAATCTAGATTTCGCTAGGTTTTTAAGCTCCACTAGTCTGACTGCCCCTCTCCTACTACTTTGACGTGACAATCATTCAAGCAGGGCATTAGATAAACTAAATTGTTTTGTTTTAAAGGCTCCACAGGATCCTTTAACCGACAAAGCTTGTTTCTAATTGAGTTTGTGTGTTTGAATGCCACTTTTATTCCTACCTTGTTAAGAATTCTGTGTAAGGTTTCCGAGGTTCCTTTCTTGTATGGAAGTACTACTGATGATTTAGATTCCTTATTGTTGTTCTCATTATCCCGCGTATGTTTGACATGCATGTCGTCATTATTATTACTATTACCATTATTATCACTATCATTGAAGCCGTGCGATTATAAGTGATATGATTATGAACAATAAATTTTGTTCGAAACGTCATCCAGTAAATAATACTGTTTCACTGTATGATACATCTAATAAACAAGCTAATATGGAATCACTGAAGTAACTATTGTAGAATAAATGTTATTTGGAGTGCTCAACTATTTTGTCTAGAACCGACGAAATTCGCTCTTTACATCACAGGATTCGTAATAGAGAATTCTTAAAAAATATCAACCAAAAGAATTAATATGCACAGAATAATTATATACAGGCAAATAGTGTAAGGATTTGTGTACTGCCAAGACTAAATGAATATACAAGCCAGATTATTCAGTTGCTTGGACTGAATTATGTTTCCGCTGATTTGTACTCATAATGAACGGTAGTTAGTAAAAGGGATATCATAAACGGTAGTGGTTCACTCACAGTAAAAACCAAATATTATGAAGTGTACATCAGCAGGAAACTCTGGTCCTATGTTCCGTGCTTACCAGCACTGACTAAAAGGGTGCATCTCCTACAAAGAGGAAATACATGTGCCTTCTCAATTGGAACCTGTGTCCTTCAATATCGAAGATACTAATTTAACCACTAAGATATTCAGGCCACTACCAACTCCCTGTAGGATTGCATCACGCCAGCGAATTTGTCACTAAAAGGCTACAAATTTAAGGAATTTAGTCTTTGCAAGGGAATTCTAGGACCTCTCGAAGAATCGTACCAACTTATAGTACCACATTACAGTAGGGAGCGATATCGCATCACTCAACATAATAACAACAGTGTTCACGTAACCGACAGGTTTAAGTCAGCATTTAAAAACTTATGGGTGAACCACGTGCCATCAGGTGATCATTTCATATGAACACAATATTCTCACAAACAAAAAACAGCATGAACCAATGCAATCTAGAATTGATGAAATTGGCCGTGAGGAAACATAACTATTATGGAAGCATTTACATTGGTTCTTCACTGTTTCATTCAAAACTTTCACACTGTGACACCTAGAATTTGAAAATTTCTGATCAGATTACACCCAAATGCGAATCAATTTTTTTCATTTAATTGAGAACAAATGAAATAATATGAGCCAGTGACACGTCCAAAATACATTGGTTTGACTAAGATGTTTCAGAACTCCTAGCTTTTCTTCAATACGGCATATTTAAAAAGACCCACTACACCAAAACCCATTGCCTTTCACATACAACTGTGTATCGAGCACTCAAAAATAGTAACTTCAAGTATACGAAAATATAGTGTCAAGCATGTGAAAGCCAGCTAAAAATTATACATAAAGGATTTAAATAAATTCAACTGGCAAGTATTTATGAAAGAAATTAGAAAGCAAACACGTAAATAAAAAAAGTGTCTTTATTTCCTCACAATTGATATCTAGTTCTAAGGCAAATGCTATTAACCAAAATTGAATGATCACAGACATTATAACGGCAACAGTGGACAAGTTGTCCAAATAACTGATTCAACAATTACTGAAGTAGACATCAGATCTTCTGTAGATAAAAACATAATATTTTACAAAGAAAGGCAATTGGTTACGCAAAAATATTTTCATCTGGAACATTTTTTAAAAGACAGTAATTACAAATATTAACAAACTGTCGTAATTATATGTGAATGGTTAAGGGGATAACTCCTGTTAGCATCCAAAAACATGATCCACAACTGAAGTGTACAAAGACAGAGATGATAGCTTGAAGCAATAAATAATGTAGGTGAAAAAAAAAACAGCATTTACATAAGATGAAAATAAGTATTTTATTGGCACTGCGGTTTTAGTTGACAATTCTCGTAAAGTAAGACTAAGAAAGCACTTGGTAAACCTTCCAAAAGACAACAGCTGATTTACTGTTATTTGTATAAATATGTAACCAATATGGCAATAGGAGTGTAACATTTCAACATACGTAATCAAAACAACATCTTAGAAATTAAGCACATGGAAAAATTCAGGATGAAATGGCTGTTTTTACAGCTGTTGAATGAGCAGGTTTTTGACAAAAAGCGGACATTTAATTTGTCTGTCGGGTTATTCTTTATAATTCCGACGGATGCGGTTGATGAAATCTACCACCGGTGAAACCATTTAACTCATATGTTACACTGTAAGCAGATGTTTTCCTTTTATCTGAAGAATAATCGGTTAAATTCGTGCCATTAGAAATACAATGGATTTTATCTTCTTTACGCGGAAGTAGGAAATCGTTGCGTAAGAGAATATAGAACAAAATAGGATTTAAAATGTTCATGATGAGCATACTCGTCATCAATAAAGCTGCGTAAAACGGTGACATTTTATCAGGCGTCATGTACATGCCATAAGTAATACGAAATAGGGCAAAACCCCGACATCCCGCGAATGTGATAAGATTAACCACAGCAGTTAAACGACGAGGTGTGCTCATTGGATGTAGCTTATGCATTTGCATCAGCTTGCGAGTATGTAGAAATATACTGTTGACTTCAGCAAGTAAAGCGATAACCGTATAGGCTATATAGCGAACCGTTAGTACATTATATGTAAAGGCACCCAGAACCTATGGTATAAACACATCAAAAATTTTAAAAAATAATTTATTTTGACGGTGAAATATACGCCTGTAATGTTTTTAAAGTTAACGCACAGATTCCAACCTCACCCAAATAGATATTCAATGCAGTACATACATTACATAATATAGATAAATACAAAGTCAGAGGAACTCATTTTGACGAGATCTGTCGGTGAACAACTGGTAAACTTCATAATAATTATTTTAAATTTCATAAGATCGCAAGTTTATGAACAGTTATATATGCAAATAAAATTTTCGCACCACAATACCTATTTAAATGCTGTACACATCTTGGCACATACATAGAATATATCAGTGACAGACTAAGCTATCCACTGCTGCTTAAAACAATCAGATTGATACTACATTGCTAAAATTAAAATGGGACAATAACAATACACCTACCAACACCTTGAACAATATACTTTTGGGAGACAGTAGGAATTTTTATTTGCTACGTTAGATCTACGATTACTCTAATTTAGTGACCAACTGAAAACACAATTATTTATGAGATCATAACTACATGTACAATACACATCACTAAAATATAGAACTCCAAAGAGATTTACAATATGATCTGGAAGGATATCCAGATACTTCACAAGAAAGGTGGAGAGCCTATTTTCAAGTCAATACCAACGCATACTCCGATTTCTGATTTAAGCTTTTAACTAGGATCCCAACTTATCTAGATAACGAAAAACCTAATACTTCTTCTGACACAACAACACTATATTTGAAGATATGAGAAATACCCTTGAGAAATAAATCAAAGTGAAACGCAGCAGTAGTGATGAACTACTGATCTTCTACTTAAAACCAGAAGTACTGATGACATTGTATCACTAAATAGACAACAGTCTACTATCTAAATTGTCTTATTAAATTTTATCAGAAGCATGATAACAAACCAACTTCACCGATCCCTTTTAGAAGCTACATTACCTCATTGTTACGCACACAAACCAAAATAAAATTCTCACTTATTACAATGCATGATTAAATTCAAATAGTTTGTCAACTTACTGCGACATGATGCAAAGTCAACTCCCACATTTTGAACACTTGCTTCTGTGTGATCATGTCCCAAAAATCATAGTAGAAGTAACCTACTCAAAAATATAGGATGCATTTGTATACAGTACCTGTCGAAAGAGCAACCATAAAATATGTGAAAGGTACGACATGATCCACAGGGTTATCCAGAAGTTCGGGATAATAATAAAAGCTAAAAACTCTAAGACAAGATATCTACAAACCACAGTATATCCCACGTTCCTATCACAACAGCATGAATCCACGAAATTATCATATTGCGCCATTTCCACACAGCAAGAGCACCTTTACATTCAACAACTATTGGTGGATGTACTCCTCTCAGCACATAGTCCAAAAGGCTGAATAAAAATACGGAGAAGCCTATGGAAGCAATACCACACCAAACGCTGGGAAGTGGTAGAAGCGCATGCCAGCTCATCGACAACCTAGTGCCACCGTGACCACTGATCACGCCAATTTGACCTTGAGAAAGTTTAATGCACGCGCTGATTTTCAGCATACAATCTAATATCCAATATCGTTTTAGCGAGCTAGTGTAAAGCAATTTGATTTCTTTGTGCTCATTTCTAGATTGTGGGTTAAGTGATCTTGGTCTTCGGTGAACTTCTGCGTATTTTGACTGTCGTCGCCTGGGTTGACTCCAAAAGGAGTGGTGCTGGGATTAATTATATGTTGTTTGTAGTATGCGGTGTGTTAAGACTTTGTTACTACAGTGAATAGAGCTGATCCTTTCACCAGTTAGTCTTTCGGTGTCGCCATCAAAAGAAAAGAGATAATAGTAATGACGGACATAATTAGTGTAGATTATTCAGACTAAAAGACAGAAAAATAAATAAAGAAAACGCAAAAGCAAACAGCTAATGAAATTTGAAGTTGATATGTGTATATGTGTATACAATATCAATAATAATTGTGTAAGGGATGAAGCGTTTGGAGTATTCAGTAGAGCAAGACAAGAAATAATTTGAAGAAGTAATACGATGTTTACCCTTTGTTATTGTACGAGATTTTAGGGGGATATGCCGTTTGGACGTAGTCCTTGTGTCGCTGAATGATTTTTCAGGCTTCGCTTGAATCTGTCCATGGACGGTGACGTAGCTACGTCTGCCAGTAAAGAGTTACTGGGACAGAAGTGAGTGTATGACTGCATATGCCCTCACTACATCACCAGTGTAATTTACGCTTGTGTCCATCTTTTCCGTTAGAACCAGACCTAAGTCACACTCCAACGTTGTGCGGGACAAGCCTACAGATGAGTAATTTTACTACTCTGCACTTTTTCAGGTTGGACATCGTATCATCGACCGCCGTCCAATCATCCAGAAGCTTTAGGTATGCATGCAGCCTTAGACATGAATCAGTACAGTCTTTTGTGGTTCGTCAAGAGTCTTTTGGCAAGGTTAGTCTGAAATGACCTTCTGTCACTTCCGACTCTTGTGTTGCACCGTCACCTGAGTTCCAGGTGTGCGTCGTGGTTGGTCTGACACTTGAACATTCTCCATATAGACAAAGTTTTCCGTTTTGCTTGCAGAGCACGTTGCGTACCTCTCTTCAGCCATTGGGGCCTTTTCGGCTGCATTGTGACTAATGGGACAGTATCCAAGATTGTTGCGTGAATGATCTCTTTTACCACTTATCAGTGTTCATCTACAGATAACTCAGCCTTGTCTGTGGGTCATTCTGAGTCCGACGAAAGCCTCAGCATTTCAGCATAGTCCGCCTTGGTGTAGCACAGACATAGTAGTTTCCCGATGTAAGCGCCCACGGAGAACGAGATCGAACCCTATGGCTGCGTGGCAACTACTTCCTATGGGGGTAATAATATTTAACCGGTCTGTTGTCGTTTTTTCCCTCAGGTCCAGTTAGGACACCTGTGTGACACAGACTGTCATTCTCAGTGCCTTTGTAATGTCACTGAGGCTTGGGGACGTATCATCACTTTAGCTCGCTGCCTCCTTATGGCTCAAGGTTTGCTTTCACAAAATCGGATGTGTCCTCCTACTTTACCCTTGGTCTCGTACCATCACTGAAGTACTAGAGCCAACTGCTCTTCAGGGCTGATTTTGACAGTTATTAGCTTTGGGGAGCTGATCAATGTGAGGTAGCCGGAAAATCGTGATTGCCCCGCAGCATAAAGGGCCATCTGGGATAACAGCTATCTCCATCGTTGTACGTAATGCATGTGTTTTAAACCAGTAGTGCCAGTTTCCAGCCCTGGAACACCATGTATGACCATGTGTAGAGAGCCTCAGTTCCGGTGACTCCCTCACCATGGCCTATCATGTCCCATTGTTATGTTGGAACTCCCTTCGGTAGCCAATACTTGAGCCAGTAACAGTATTCTTTCAGCCTCTTCGGCATGGTTTAGTGTCACCCCTAGTGGTTGTGACTTGCTTTCGGGTGCCTGAACACCATTGTACAGCCTGCACAGTTTTACTAAATTAATTTTCAGACCTAATTTACTGCACGAATTGGACCGCTGTTCCTGATCAAACAAAGCCCTTTGTTCAAGTAAACTATCACTGTACACGGTTAAATGAAACAGGATTAGGGAATTCGATCGACTGACCTCAGACTTCGGTTTGGTTTTTGGCTACTTGTCCTTCTTTGTAGGATTGGTCACTTTTGATTTCATCAGGCTCTGACTGGTCTTTGTTATGTCGCGATGGTTGCTAGAGGATGCAAATGGTTTTTGGCAACTCCGTCCTCCTCTGCTGTTTTGGGTGTAACCTTGTTAGTCTTCAGTTTAAGAAGATTGATATTTCTAGTCAGTCGGGCTGGAGTATCGTTTCTCCGGTTTTTACTAAGTTTCGGGGATGTGGGGCTAAAGGTGGAGAGCTGCATGAGACCGTATCGAGACAGAAAATTGGAGTGCCGTTTCTGTTATCCGATGACGCGCCATGTGAGACTGTGCCAGGGCGACAAAGTGGACAAATGTACCAGAACCGCTTGCATGGGTTATTTCGCATTAAATCATAATACAGTTTTAGCACTCCTTTGTCACAACGGAAATACACCCCTCGTTTGCAAAAAGTGCATTGAAATGCCAAGTCAGTTTTGAAAACACCAACATCAGGGGCCTGTCATTCATCTTCTTTTCGAGGTCCAATGACGTCTTGAGCGTTTCTTTTTGTTTTGCTGAGTCGCACACTTGCTTCCTACGGATATAGGTGTAGTATCACTTCCACCTGGTTTTGCCTGTGCAGTTTCAGTGCTGGACTGTGGAAATGTAAAGAAGCTATCAGAACATGGAATATTTGCGCGGAACTTTAGGAGTGGTATGCGAGATGGGTTCAATATCTTTGGGTTACTGCCTCCTCTGGCTGAAGCCCTTGCCAATGCAGAATGTGGTGTTTCTGCGCTTTTTTCAAGTCTGCTTTAAGCCACCACATTAACAGTTACTATAACTTATCTTTATATATGAACAAGAGATAGTATCAGTATCTACCCAATAGAACAAGAACGAAAAATTGATAAAGAATACGATTAGGAAAATAAAGGGTTTTCGGCTTAACCTAGTACCCTTTGATCGCTCGGCTTCACAACAGTCACGTGGCAGACCGACAAGCTTTGCTTATCTGAACGAGCGAGGAAGATGCTGCTACAGATGTGATACCTAAAGACTTAGCAGTAGTTTGAGACACAGAAATTTAGTGTGGAAGTAATTATTGAATTTAATTCACCGGCTAGGAAGATCAGGTTTCCCAACCGCATAATTCACAAAATAGGTATTTTCTGATTAGAGTTTAAAAAGCAGGTCGTATTCAAGGAGCGAGAGCATGACGACTCGGAAGGCTGAATTTCTGAATGGACGTCAGTAGACATTATAGATGAATTTTAATCTATTCACAAGACTCACTGTCAAATCACCAAAGTTCGTCAGAGGGTGTGATATAGATAAAGCAACGGAAGGTGCACGACGCCATAATCCATCCGTCAAGCACCTGTAGGTTAACAATATCCACCGATTTCAAACTAGCCGTATAGAAACCAGTATTTGTGAAAGTCCTCAGATGCCTCCGAAACAAGCAGAAGGAAGCAGGGTCTTCCGAAAAACAACACAACTTCATATATGTTGTCAGTGTATATCACGTAAGAAAAACAAAAATTCAGCGCGCTTAACCGGAATATAGTCGAGCGTTTCTTTAGGAGTGAGGATAAAGTCTGTCGTAAAGTATTTTCGCATTTGTGCGTCGGTAGCACAGTGGTTAGGACTCTCGCCGACCATGCACATGGTTCGGGGTTCGATCCCCCGCCGACGCACACCCGATATCTATGGTCGGCCTGCAAAATTTGGGTTACCGATATCCATGCTGAAAATGCCATACTTGTACTGAAAATACGATGTGGCATCAAGCTGTAATCAAAAATAAAAATATTTGTTATGGGCTATCGCTTGCATCTTTGTAGAAGCGTTAGGAGCGTCCATTGTTGTGGAAATACGGAGTATTACACTATCTTTACGCTTCTATGGTCAAAAAAGCTATATCTTCTCGTATTCTATCGGTATTAATGATTACAAGTTTCGAGGTTGTAAACTGACTACAGGCGACGGTTAATGTTATGGGAGTTTTTCATGAGATTCAGGCTTTTGGTGCGTAATTAATCTACGGGCATAAGTTAGATATCTGTTCCGAGGAGTATGTGAGGTAAGCGAACCTTTTAACGTCATCCGGAATGAATGGAATCGTTCGTCACAAATCAAAGAAATGATATTATGAATGAGACAAGTGGCTGAATTTTGCCGTGATCATGTTCGTTTTGAAGTTCACAGTGAAGACTATTCAGCTGAAAATGTGATAAGAGTTGAAATTTCAATATCATATGGAATGTTGGAAGTGCGTAAGTGTTTACCATATGATAAGGCTCCAACTTGATATCACTGTGCAATGGGACAAGAAGAACACTATGTATAGTCTTTCTGAAATATAACTCTACTTACAGTCAGTATCGCCGTTTTGTCGTAGAGTAGCCTGCAAGTGCCTCCTAGCATGGGTGCACCCGCTACGTAGATCATATCAGTCGCAACAATCATTAACTTCCAGATTATCTAAATATTTCGGATTCCTTCTGGAGCTATCTGCAGCTATGAAAGATGGAAGTTGCACTTGTTACTAGGATTTTTTAATCATTTACTTTTAAAACGCTGGTTTGGAGGGACTTTGAGAAGTTTGTGTTGAAGCGCTAAAGCATTTTTTGTTAATGCGAAGACAATATTTCTATATTTCCTGATGTGCTCCATTGAATGACTAGTTAGCAGACTGTACCCACAAACCAAAGCCAAAAGGGATAGCAACCATGTAATTTAACAATAAACCAAATTTATGCAACTTAAATAATACTTATCCATGCCTGCAAAACTGGTGTATGTGTAAATAGGAATAAATATATTATTATCACCGAATGTTATTATCCCTGAAGGGATAACTGAAGGAAACGAACCCCATTTAGAACTCTTTATCGAATCAATGGGAATACCACACATTTCTGATAAGAAACTTAGTCAAAGTAAATACTTTGAGTGGATACAAAGAAGTGTTACTCAGTACCCAGTAATTACTATATTTTAGATGTGTGAATCATCTTTCGTGTTTCAGAATGAAGCCAAAATATGTAGGCGTGTTTTGCTTAGTCCTATACTTGACAAAAAAATTAAATGTATGTAATAGTGGAAATGACAAGGAGACTTTGTCATGAACACAGAACAAGAGAAAAGAATGAGCCGTTTTCAGAGGACGTAAAAA